GAGAGTCCGGAACGAGACGGCGGTCGTGGGCAGAGGGTGCGGGAGTCAGCGCTCCCAAGCTGGGAGCGGCCGGCCTCGCTGTGCCTTGGCAGCCGCGGTCCCAGCTCCGCCTCGCGCTCCTCTGACCTGCAGCCGCTTCTTCCTTGCAGGCAACTACCGGACGCAGCTGTATGACAAGCAGCGGGAGGAGTACCAGCCGGCCACCCCGGGGCTTGGCATGTTCGTGGAGGTGAAGGACCCAGAGGACAAGGTGAGCCGGGCCCTTAGCCCCGCCGAGTCCTCCGCTCTGCACTTAGCGCCAGCCCAGGCGGGTGCTGGCAGTTCCCCTCCTAGTTTCCGCATCTGCCAAACTGCTAAAGACAGTTGGTGGTGTGGGAAGATTCGGGATTTTCACTCCAGGCCAAACGTGGGCTGTTGCTTTGCTAGCTGCTCCTCTCAGCTTCTTCCCGACTGCCGCAGGACCCCGCCAAATCTGTCACCTTCCCTGAGCCATTTTCTCGCTCGTGAAATAAACGGAAACTCACCTCCCCGTTGGTGTGGTGGGTGGGTTACTTGTGCTGGAAATCAAAGGATTTTGTCAACTCTTAGGCTGTGACACGTAGACCTTAGAGTTTCGCAGAATAGGGTACTTTCAGAAAGAATGAGTGGCTTGTAATTTCAGCAAATAATAATAAAGCAAAACAAAAAACCCTTAGCTGTCACTTGTTACTTAAAAATGGAACCACACCAAAAGAAATGAAAGGGTAGAAGCTGTGAATAAGGTACGTCTCTTCCCAAGATCATGCTCACATGCCAACCTCATGTCACAGTCTTCACCCACCCCAGGTAGTTCCCAGACGAGCTTTGGACCTTTTAGTGTTGTGGGGTGCCTGAGGCTCTGTTTGCCAATTTTTGAGGCACTTAGAGCCTTAAGCCTTGTTTCCTTCCAGCTCCATCCCTACCGTAACACTCACTGAACACGCTTCTCTCCAGGTCATCCTGGCCCGGCAGTATGGCTCTGAGGGCAGGTTCACTTTTACCTCCCACACTCCTGGTGAGCACCAGATCTGTCTTCACTCCAATTCCACTAAGTTCTCCCTTTTTGCTGGAGGCATGTTGGTAAGTGGACGTAGGTGTAACTCAAACCTTTAGCCTCTAGCCTCCTGTGGGCTTATGGTACTGGGGATGTGACATGAGTATGTTGGATATTTTGTCTGATAGTAAACTTGGTTTCCAGTGAACATCCAGGGCACAGATGCTGTATTTTGTATATGCCTTGGTCAGAATCAGCCAGGCTTATTCTTGCCTGCATGCCTGGAGCCCATAGGCTGGACCCTATGGAGGCCTCAGTCAGTGTTGGCTACATGAACAAATGAGGGAAGGTGGGACAAGCCATAAGTCCTTGGCAGGAAGATGGAGCTGGGTTGACTGATTCTCCTTGTATTTTCCTTGTCTGCTCCCAGAGAGTTCACCTGGACATCCAAGTCGGTGAACATGCCAACGACTATGCAGAAATTGCTGCCAAAGACAAGTTGAGTGAGTTGCAGCTACGAGTACGACAGTTAGTGGAGCAAGTGGAGCAGATTCAGAAAGAGCAGAACTACCAGCGGGTGAGTGGGCCAGGGGCAGTAGGCTTCTTTCCAGAAGCTGCCACTGGCTCAACCAGTAGTTGCATGTAAAATTCGTTATGAAACCTTAGGGATGACTTGTCTGTGCTTCATTTCAAGTTTTAAAGATGGTATGGGTATTATTAACTCCACTTTATAATTGAGTAGAGAGACTCCTAAGAGGCTGTCATTGTTTTGTGTAGAAGTTGACAAAATCCACAAAGTGACAGCGGGAATTGATACCAACACCTTGGGTATTATTTCCATGGCTCCAGGTTCTCTTGTTACTAGATGTTTCAAATCACCCATAGCCAGGAGCTAGGCAGTTATTGTGAATGACTCCATGAGGAATACCTCATCCTCAGTGACCTCAGTTCATTGTCAGCTGAGGGCACCCTTGTAGAAATGCTAGCCTTGGTTTTTAAGAGGAGCTTGAGGTCCAAGTTTTATGTGTGAAATTTTCTTGTGTTTTTTAATTGTTGGCAACCACTGGAGCCAAACAAAACACATGTAATGGCCAGATAAAGCAGCTGGACCATCAGTTTGCTATCTGTCCACAATAGTCAAGGACCAGCTAGGACACCTGGGCAGAGGACTCGGAGCAAGTCCACTTGAGGGCTCCAGGACAGCATAGCCTGATGGGGTTATACCAGAACCACCTCTCCCCCAGGCTCCAGAGTAGGGCCACAGGAGGCCTATACTTTTCAGATAAGAGCAGACAGTCTTTTGAGGAATAAATGGGTTCCCTGAGGTCATCTAGCTGGTGAGAATGACACAGTTCCCAGATGGGGTGGCTCTTTGAGTCTTTGTTTACAGACACTGTACTGGAATCTGAACAAAGCTGGCTGGCCCTGGGGCATCTCCAGGAAGGGAACCCAGCAGTTCGAGCAGCCCAGGGGCAGCCCAGCCGACTCAGGCTCCTCTTGCATTCTGCCCTCCCACAGTGGCGAGAGGAGCGCTTTCGGCAGACCAGCGAGAGCACCAACCAGCGAGTGCTGTGGTGGTCCATTCTGCAAACCCTCATCCTCGTAGCCATCGGCGTCTGGCAGATGCGACACCTCAAGAGCTTCTTTGAAGCAAAGAAGCTGGTGTAGCCATCCCAGGCCTCACAGACATCCTTCCTCCCAGGCTGGGAGAGAAGGGGCTCCTGGAACTGATTTCTCTGGCAGGAAGACTGGTTCCCAGTCACAGATGTCCGGAGGGGAGAGGGCAACATACACTGCAGCACAAGCAGCTTGGCTGGCTCATAGTGAGCATGTGGTAGGCAAATGCCTGCCCCCTCCCCTGGGCTCTTGCCCTTTGCAGTAATCACCCAGGGGCTGGTGATGCCGCTGGGAGCCCCATTGGCACCTCAGAATCACAGTGTTACTGATCAGGACTCTGAGGCTGTTGTCTGGGTAGCTAGGGGGAGGGGAGCAAACCAGTCTTCCCTCTGTCTTCTTTTGCTAACTTGGGATTTTGAACAGGTTGGGTTGTGGCTGTGGTTCCCTGCTGCTCTAGGAAGCTCACTGTCCCTCTTGGGGCCTAAACCCAGCCTTCTGATCAGGGTGTGTGTCAGTTGAGGATGGGGTGGAGGGGGGGTACAATGTGGGAAAGTGGCCCTGAGTTTGACTCCAGTTTCTTCACATAGTTGTCCTTTTGGGGACTTGAGAAACTGGGGTCAGGCCAAGCAGAGGCCTTGGTGCTGGTTTGGATTGGGGCCTTCAGAGTCTTAGTTAATGATTTCATTATCAGTAGGTCTAGGTTTGTTACATTGGTTTCCCAATTAATAAAAAATTGACTTCTTGTCCAGTGTAAAGTTACTATACTGTTAGAGGGCATAACACTGCAAGGTGCTCCAGGGAACATCATCTCTTCCAACGGACAAAACACCTCACATTCCAAGATGAATACCCACCTGTGAATTTCATTTTTTCTATCCTTATGTCTTTCTGCAGCACCAGGTAGTGGGTTTGCCTAAGACTATCCAACAAGTAAATTGATTTTGGAATCAGTGTTCAAATCCACACCCATTTCCTCTGCACCAGCTGCCTTGTTAAGTGCTCTGCCAGCCTTTCCAGACTAGGTGGACAGAATTGTCATGGTGCTGCAAAGAAGTGCCTCGTTTGGAAGGTGGTGCCCATTGAACAGAGGAGTGCTGCATGTGTGAGGAAAACAAATCCCTGGGCTGGTGAGGATGAGGATATTGATGGGCTTGGCCAATAGCATGGGATTTCAGCAAGGACCTTGGAGGAGGAGAAGGATTCTGATGACAAGACTTTAGGGCAGGGGTGGTTGGGAAAAGCAGAAGCATACAGCTAGTATGGAGGTGGATGGGGAGAAGTTGGACTGGAGGGGTTAGGAGGAAGCTGGAAAGGAGATCAGTAAGAGTTACAGAGCCTTGAGCCCCCAGTAAAAGATTTGGACATCGCCCACTGTTCAGCAAAGTTAAGTAGAAGAGTCGCAAGGATAAGTAAGGAGGGTTAATGCTGCAGTGTGTGAGAAAGAAACTGGGGAAGGGCAGACAAATTTGGGGACCACTTTGAACTGTCAGGGGTGGATGAGCTGAGTGAATACTGCCACCTAGACCTCCACATTAAAAATAAAAAATTTTTTTTAGAACAGCTTTAGAATTGCAAGAAAATTGTGAAGACTTGTTTCCCCTATTAATGTCATGCATTGGTGTGGAACATTAAAATAATGAACCAATATTGATAACATTATTTTTAACTGAATTCCGTAAGTAAATTTCCTTAGTTGTTATCTAGTGTTCTTTTCTGTTCCAGGATCCCATTCAGAATACCTTATTACATTTACTTGTCCCCTTGGGCTCTTCTTGGCTCTGAAAGTTTCTCAAAGTTTCCTTGTCCTTTTATTACCCTGACAGTTTTCAGGAGTACTGATGAGGCATTTTGTAGAATTTCCCTTAGTTGGGATTTGTCTGCTATTTTTCTCATGATTAGAATGGGGTTGTGGGTTCTTGAAAAGACCACAGAAGTCATTCTCATCATATCAAGGGTCCTTATTATCAACATGACTGGATGTCACAGCTTTAAGTTAATTTGGATTTTTATGTAAAATCTAATTTATTGAGATAGATTAGATCTGAAACTCAGGGGGCTTCATCCTGACATAATTAAGTGGACTGAATGGTGACTGTCCCCTTTAGATGGATGGGCTTGTACACTCCAGGTCACAGTCTCACCTCCCTGCTTCTATTATTGGCCTTACTGGACTGGTCTCTACAGAGAGTCAGCCTTGCTTTTGTTAACAGCCAAACTTAGCTTGGATTTGCCAAGGTTCTGGTGTAGGTGCAGTGCCCTGGGAAAGTTCAGCAGGAAGGGGACTGGTGAGTTGTTTGCTGGGTTTAAGGGAGAAAGGGGGCTGCTGGAGATGATTAATTTCTCTCATGGTGAAATCCTCTCAGAAGCAGAGTGGTTAAGACCATAGACTGCTCAGCCAAACCATCTGGGCTTACAGTCTTCCTGTGCCTCAGTTCCTTTATCTTTAAAGTGGGCATAACATATAAAGACAGAAGGAGGTAACAGTAGTAAAGAATTTAGAACAGTGACTGGTATATAGTAAGAACTCAACAGATGTTAGCTATTAGGAAACAGATTTCGCCTGGAAGAGCAAAGGGGATCAAGTCTAATAACTGCCTCTCTCTTACCGGGTGAGAGGTTGGCCAAGCCAGGCTAAGTTCAGACCATAACTTATGCAGATAAGAGAATTCAACCTAGCATAACATATAAAGACAGAAGGAGGTAACAGTAGTAAAGAATTTAGAACAGTGACTGGTATATAGTAAGAACTCAACAGATGTTAGCTATTAGGAAACAGATTTCGCCTGGAAGAGCAAAGGGGATCAAGTCTAATAACTGCCTCTCTCTTACCGGGTGAGAGGTTGGCCAAGCCAGGCTAAGTTCAGACCATAACTTATGCAGATAAGAGAATTCAACCTCTGTCTTCAGTTCTCACCTCAGTTCCATCAAAGTACCCCTCTACTGGATGATAGGTATAATTTATATAACGTTGACTCTGTGCCCAGCACTGAATCAAGTATTTTTGCATTTTCTACTTTAATGCTCACAGCAACCATTAAGATCAGAAACCATTTATATACTCAGGTGAGGAAAGAGACACAGAGATTATGCCTTACCCCCAAATCACAGCTGAATTGACAAAGATCCAGTCCATCTGTCCTCAGTGCCTGGCTCCTGCTATTTGGGGTACCGGCTGAACTCCAGACTGAGCCCTGAGCTTGGCTTTGCTCCCTCCAAGCATGTTGCGGACAAAGAATGCACCAGCTGGGGCTGACTGCGGGGATACCCAGTCGCTCCCCGTCTTCTCTGGGGAAGAGGAGGAAGATATGGATTAAAGCAAAGCGCTGGTTTGGAAGTCTGGAGTCTTAAATTCAGTCCCAGCCCAGTAACATGAGCCCTCTCTGGGGCCTCAGTGTCTCGGGATGTCAAGCGGCGCCCAGAAGAGTAGTTGGTTACCCGTCCAACAGTTGGGACGCTCACGTGTTTCTCGCATGCGGAACCTTTAACACTGCGGCTCCGGGGCGCGGACGGTGCAGCCGGAACAAGGGCCCTGCAGGACCGAGGGGCGGGGAGGACGGGCCTGGGCGGAGCGGGAGGCGGAGGCGCCGCGTAGGCCCGGGAGGCCGGGCCGCCCGGCTTGGAGCTCGTGTCCCATGTGCTGCCGCCTCCCACCGCGATGTTCCCCTCCAGGAGGAAAACGGCGCAGCTGCCCTGGGAGAACGGCAGGTGAGCGGCGGCGGCGGCCGGCCCGGGTCCCACCCTCCGGGTGCCGATCCTTCCGGGCCGCGCCGCGGAATCGAGGAGCCCGAGGCCGTCGCGCCCCTGCCTCTGCGGTCTCTCTGAGGGTCTGTGGTTCTCCTTGTGGGTCACTGGCGCTCCCTGTGTACGCGTCTCTGTCTCTACCCGCCTCCGTCACTCCGCGGGTCTGTTTCTTCGTTGACTTCCCTTTGTGAGTTCTTTCCCTCATGATCGGTCCCTTTGTGTCTCTGTCTCTCCACTGACCTCCATCTTCGTGCAGGTCTTTTCTTGACCTCTCTCAATGAATCTGTGTCCTTCTGTCTGTCCCTTGTCTCGAATGGTCTTTATTCCATTTCTCTGGTCCCTCCCATCACATCCATGTAGCCTCAGACCCCACCCTCCCTCCCTCATGCTTCCCCATCCTTTGCTGACCGCCCAGAAAAACACACCAGACAGAAGCTCTGTATGGTGAGCCTGCCTGGCCACGGCTTGGCAAGGACTAGGCCCCCCTCACACATAACACTAGTTCATTTCCAGTGCAGCTGTACTTGAGTGGGGCCCTCTCCATGTGTTAGGTGTGAGCTTGGCTCTGACCTTACCTAATGATGTTTGCCACTAAAGCAGAATTGGGATGGGAGAGATATTTGGCTGCCACACTTCAGTCTTGAGATGTGCCCCCAAAACTCTTCCCATCCAGAGCACATGATAGTGGGTCTCCACCGAATGAATGACACCTCATTCCCTTTGTGTTTCTTAAGTTTGCCAGGTGCCAAAAGATTCTGGAATATAACAGGCACAACTCTTTACCTTTGGGGATTTTTCAGACATGGTGTTGAAGTAAGAAGACAGGAATGTAGTAGAATCTTGGACTGTGGAGTCAGCTCTGGGCAGGAATCCTCTCTAACAGCCATGTGAGCAGAAACAGATCACTTAATCTTTCTGACCTCAGCTTTTTCCATCTCTGAAACAGGGATCATAATATCTACTTTGCAGGGCTGTTTGAGGATTAAATGAGATCATATATGTAAAACTTATTACACTGTCTGGCACAGAGGAGGTGTCATCCAGCTACCTTTGCAGTTTGTAGGTGCTCTGCCAAAAGCAGTTGAGTATTCAAACCATGTATCACTGAGATTTGTGTGAGGGAAGAAAGGGAAGGTAATGGAGATGAATTTACATAAACCTTTGGAACTATAACTGTGCTTGCAGAAAAACTTACAGATGTCAATTCCTGCTTTTGACACATGGGTACAAAGGTCCATGCAACAGATACACACTGTGTAGTAAGGAACAGAGCTAGCTGTGGAGCTAGCCTGCCTGGATTTGAATCTCTTTTTGGCCTTGGGCACAGATTGGTAGAGCCATCAGAACCTCCACAAACTTCATCTGGTCTGCCGCCTCAGAGCAGGGTGGCCTGGGCCTGGGAACAGCTGGGACTACAGATCTTCAGTTTACCACCAGGTGGCACCAGAAGTTCTTACTATCCACTGTCCTGAAATACTGGGACTTGACTGAATTCAGTTGCTCAGCGGTTTGGGCCTATAGAGCACAGGATGAGAGTGCCCATGACATGATCCTGGTAGGAAGGGGAAGCTGGATTGAAGAAACTGCATATGAAAATGCATGGAAAAGCCAATCCATGCCATACCCCTGGATAATGGTCACTGCTTCTTCCCCTGAAGGTGGAATATTTCCTCATGTCCATCTCCTTGGTCTCCACCTGGCCCCCAGAAAGATCCCCAAGGGCGAGAAAGAATCTCTAGAGGTACCAGCCTTCCCAGGCCAGTGGCAGGATTGGGCTCTTCTCCTCCCCACCGGAAACCCCCACCACATGACAATGGGGGGTAAGTCAGGAGCTCTGTGAGGGTGTCCTACCTGGCCACCTCTGTTGTGTGTGAGACCTGGCCTGGCTTCACAGCTGCTGGCTTCCAGGTTGGCAGTTATGCCTCCAGATAAAGGCAGGAGTTGGCCTGGCTCTTGTGTAATAAAGCATGCCTAATTGCTTGAACTCTCCTGTAACTCAGCA